ATAATAGACACCTGTTCCTCCCTTGTTTATGCCCTCGCCCTTTCTGGGGAGAAACAATGCTATCAAGGCCCTTAAGTCAGCCATGGTAGTTATGGGGGTGCCTTGGGCACTTAAGACTGACAATGGCCCTGCTTATGCCTCTCAACAATTTAATGACTTTCTGGGGTCCTGGAAGATATCCCATATCACTGGCATCCCCGACAATCCACAGGGACAAGCCATTGTTGAGAGGACCAACAGAGCTCTTAAGGAGCTGTTGACAAGGACTGTCTCACCAGAGGCTAGGAGAGATCCTCATCTGGCCTTAACAAAGGACCTTTTCCATATGAACTTTCTCAGTTTTGATGACAAGGGGCTCAGCCTGGCCTACAAGCACTGGGCATCTCTGTCAAGGACCAAGCCTCTGCCCTTGGTGAGATGGAGAGATCCTATCTCCCTCCAATGGCAGACACCTGTCCCCCTGCTGACCCGTGGGAGAGGGTATGCTTGTGTTTTTCCTCAGAGTGCCACTATGCCAATATGGGTCCCAGCAAGAGATATACACTTGGCCATAGGTCAGCCTGCTTCCACGAAGGAGAAAATCACCCAGGATGGGTAATGTATATATTCCCCTTTCTTGTTCTCATTGCCCCTCTAAAGGCTGAAGATTTGTGGAGCCTTGCTTTTCCTCATTTTGTGTGATGCCTTTTGAGATGAGGAATGTTAGTTTAGCAGGCTGGAAGCTAGCTAAATATATTAAGGGCCCGTGGTCGCTAAGTTTCTATATTATCCATTACAGCTAACACATAAAATTTTCCAATTAAATCAGACAAGAGCACAGGCTATGGATTTTGACTCTATTTTTTTTTAAGATTTGGTATGATATAAAGAGACTGTTTGATGCCTCCTGGATTTCACTTATGTCTTGATTGGTGGGGTGATGCTTTTGATTTTTCTCCTTTTTAAGTGTCTCCTATAGTATATCCAACAACAACAGGCAGCCACTAAGGCGACTCTACAGGTGTTAATGGCTCTTAGACATCCAACTCACAGCCCTCCACAGGAGGTTATACAAGCCTGGCTTTCTGAAATTCAAAAGGCTACTGCCTGACTCTCTCCACCCAGGGTGACACTCTGGGGATAGATGCTCTTCAAAAAAAGAGTTCCAGAGATAAAATCCAGAATGGCTCATGTCTCTCAAACACCTCATTGACATCAAATTAATAGAGTGCTTTGTCATGCTGAGATACCAGCTCTGGCATATTACTTTAAGATATTGAGTCAGTTTGTATTGTGTTGGTTTATTCTCACCATGCTTTACCAGTGTCTGCTACAGAGTGCCATCGGGGAGGCAGAGATTCGTCTGGATCTCTGTAAGTTCAAGAACACACTGGGAACAGAGCCAGGCATGGTGGCACAAGCCTTTAATCCCAGCACTTAGGATCTCATGTCTTTGCTTGGGAAGGACACATGCCTTTAATCTCAGGAAGTAATGGCAGGAAGCAGAAAGGCATATAAGGTGTGAGGACCAGGAACTAAAGGATTTTAAGCAGTTCAGCTAAAATCTCTTCCAGGTGAGGACTCAGAGGTTTTCAGTCTGAGGAAACAGGAACTCACACTCTGGAGGCTGAGGAGTTGGTAAGGTGAGGTTGGCTGTAGCTTGTTCTATTCCTCTGATCTCTCAGTTTTCACCACCACCCCAAAAAAATTTCTGCAGAGAACCATGAACATGCCTAGGAGCAACTTTGAAATCTCCAAAAAGATGATGGGATCCTACAACGATGATTCCACAATATGATAAAGCCATTAAGCTGAATAATACCACCCAAAGATCAGCTTTGGACTACAAACTTCTCAGGACAGTTTCCAAATGGCTAGCTGAGATGATCCAGTCTCATAGACTACTGGAGCAAGGACTTGAGACAAGGCCTGCACTTTCCCATTATGCAATAACTAGACAAATGATACAGCTAACTCTCCCAAGACTTGACAATTAACTCAAAAATTTTCTTTTCAGGATTCCCTAAAGATGCCTTTGCCCCCAGACAACAGGAAATAATTTTAAGAAAATGACGTCTACATTCCCAAAAGGTGGAGTGGGTGGTTTTTGGTCTTTCAATGGGTTATGGATAATTGCCATTGTTTAGGATAATTGGTTACAAGTTGTTAATTGTTAATGGTCAAGAAAAAAAGCTAAAAAAGGAGATTAGACTCAGGGTTCTTGTTTAAAGAAAAGAAAGAGAAAAAAGAGCATATAGATAAGAGATGGATTATTGAATCTACTCTGAAAAAAGAGACATAGAAATAATAGGATAAAAGGGTAGATTATTGAATCTACTCTGAAAAGAAAAAAAGGGAGAATATGGATATGATAAGATAAAAAGGTAGATTATTGAATCTACTTTTAAAAAGGAACAAATTGTTTTAAATATTTTACAGGAGGCTGGGTGGTGGTGGCACATGCCTTTAATTCCAGCACTCAGGAGGCAGAGCCAGGTGGATCTCTGTGAGTTCGAGGCCAACCTGGTCTACAGAGCAAGATCCAGGACAGGCACCAAAACTACACAGAGAATCCCTGTCTCGGAAAAAAAAATTTACATTGGATTGGATTTTTGTATATTGTATACAACTTTTGTGTTGGTCTGACCAAAATAGGACAAATAATAAAATTTTTGTTGTCTGAATCTGTCAAATGTTAATGGACTGGATATTGCTAATGTAATTCTTGACTGTATATGTTGTATATACTTATTGTACTTATTGTATATAATTTTTTCTTATATTAGTTATAACCTTCATTTATTATTTTAGACAAAAAAGGGGAAATGTGGTTGACATATTGTGCACCCTAATAAAACTTTCCTGGGAATCAGAGAACAGAACAGCCAGTACATTAGACATAGAGGTCAGACAGTGATGGCACACATGCCTTTAATATTATCACTCAGGAGGCAGAGATCCATCTGGATCTCTGTGAGCTCAAGGCCACACTGGGAACACAGCCAGGCAGTGGTGTCACACACCTGTAATCCCTTACACTTGAGATCTCATGTCTTTGCTTGGTAAGGACACATGCCTTTAATCCCAAGAAGTGACGGCAGGAAGCAGAAAGATATATAAGGTGTGAGGACCAAGAACTAGAGGCTTTTAAGTAGTTCAGCTAAAATTCCTTCCCAGTGAGGACTCAGAGGATTTCAGGAACACTTGTTCTCTTGGGCTGAGGATTTCCTAGCGGTAAAAACTTGTAGCTTGGCTTGTTCTATTCCTCTGATCTCACAGTTTTCACCCCAATATCTGGCTCTGGTTTTTTATTATTAAGACATTTTAAGATTCATGTTACAGGGTGCTGTTAGGATCCAGCAACATAGGGAGCCATTAGGATCCAAGCAACAAGGTTAGATCATAGAAAAGGAAGTGGGAGACCTGCCTGGGTAGATTAGGTGAATATGGTGTCTGTCTCTCTGTTTCTTGATTTGTGATTAACAGAGAGCCCTTGTCAAGCCAGAACTATAAAACTGATCAAATTTGGTTTCTCCACAGTCTGTTAGGGATAAATAGAAGTATGTCAATTCAAAGCTTATATTCAGGATCCTCTAGCTTCAAAAGATTGGCAATTATTATTATTATTACTCGGATGCCTGTTTGTTTTCTAATGAGAGACAGAAAGAATGTAGACTTGGATAGGAGTTTGGAAAAGTGAGAGTCTTAGAGAAGGTAGGGTGGAGGAAATCATAATCAGAATATATTTTATGAAAAAATCTATTTTTCAATAAGAGAAAAATACAAAGAAAAAAAGAAATTGAAAAGGTTGTGGTTGAGAAACCTGAGGTCACTACTATACCCAGTAAATCAGACTGTCTCTAGAAAAGATGGGCAATGGTGTTGCTACCTATTTCCTTCTAAGAATTGATCTCTACTTCTAAGAGACAGGGAGTGAGAAGAGAGAAGAGAAAGGAAGAAAGGAAGAAAAAAAGAAAAAGAAAGAAAGAAAAGGAAGAAGACAAACCAAAAGAAAGAAAGAAAGGAAGGAAGAAGAAAGAAAGAGAGAGAGGGAGGGAGGGA